GTGTCTTATCATTGTGAACGTGCCAGAACCCACCAAGGACACCTCAGCAGAAAGAATGCTTGATGACCAATGGTTCCTTGAACGAATGATTTCCATTTTATTCGATGGTGAATTAGGTATAAACAGTATCTCTGCCTTCTTCCTGGGGAGGAAGCAAGAGGATCCTTCTAAGGTACGCCCTTTCAAGATCGTATGCCAAAGCGAAGAGGAATGCCGACGCATCCTCCGGCGAACCCCACGTTTGAAAGGTGAGCCTTTTTACGTCCTGAGAGATCTTTCTTCGGAAGATCGTATTAAAACGAAAACAGCCGTTGATGAGCTCCGGTCCCGCAGAGGGAATGGTGAGACAGACCTCCACATCGTGGATTTTCGCGTAATCCGGAAAACTTCGAGAACCCGGTGGAGGCCAATCCTCCTCAACCCAGAACAGTAGAGCATGAGAACAGACTGCGTGTAATTTTTGCCAATGTACGCAGTCTGAGAAATAAACTTGATGAGGTACAGATGCTTGCGTCAGATACTCGCCCAGACTTGATGGCCTTCACCGAAACTTGGCTTTTTGCGGACATCATAGATTCAGAGGTTTCTATCCCCGGATACAGTTTCTGTCGAGCTAACCGTCTTGGAGGCAGGCCCGGTGGTGGCGTCATACTTTACTGGAAGGCCGAACTCAGGGCCTATTTGGTTGCAGCTACTAGTGGCGACGATGGTGATTTTGATGCCCTTTGGTGCAGTATTCATGATGGATGCAGATCCTTCCCTAGTGGTGATGTCTACAGAGCGCCATCGAGATCGGAGTTCAATTGCTCGATTCGATCAAAAAATACGGCGCGGGAAAGGACAATCTTATCGTGGGGGATTTTAATGCCCCTAATATCGACGGGGATTTACTTCTTTGTGGTCGTCTACCTGATTCCTTTGATGCTATCTTACTTGAGACTGTTATCCATTGTAATTTGTTTCAACACGTCACCATGCCAAACCGCATTGTTGCCGATCAAATGCCAAATATTCTGGACCTTGTGCTCACCCCAGCTCAGTCAGATGTCACGAATCTAACAGTTCTTCAACCCATCGGCAAAAGTGATCATTGTGTCGTTGCATTCCAATGGACACGTCGCCTCATCATCCATAGCCAAGTTGGTTGTCGTCGGAACTTTTGGCATGCGGATCCACTCCGTCTGAGAACAGCCGCAAGCGCTATGAACTGGAGTATTCCTGATCCCATTCCTCTTGATGATGCGTGGAACCTTGTGCTCTCCAAAATGACTTCTCTAATTGAGCAGGTCGTTCCTTTCTCCCGTAAGAGGTCCTTCAAGAAGGGTGAATTGAGATCTCTGATGAACAGAAGACGCAAATTGTGGGACCGTTTCAGGCAATCTCAAACAGAGTCCGATTACTCTTCCTACAAGATTACCAGGAATGTTTGTGTCACGTTGAAGCGTCAGCAATATGAACTATCATTAGCAGTACACTCCAGAACGACACCCAAAACGCTTTTCTCTTATCTGAAAAGAAGCACCAGGGCTAGCAGTGGCCTTCCTATCTTGAGTTCCTTTGAACATCGAAATTTACTTTACGAAGACGCTGATAAAGCCAGTCTTTTGGCCCATCAGTACGCCTGTCTTCGTGAAAGAAACTCCCGCCTGCGACAACATTGTGTCCAGTTTTCCTTATCTGCTGCATCAAGTAGACAGTAACATCAATTCTATGCTTAAACTTCTCCTTGATATAGATCCGCATTCTTCACCCGGCCCGGATGGCTTGCACCCCCTGTTCCTTAGGACTGTGGCGCAGTACATCGCCCCTCCTATCTGTCAGCTCTTCCGTCGTTCCTTTGAAGCTGGGCGTCTCCCGTCGGCTTGGAAAGTGGACATTGTCAAACCCAAATACAAAGGAGGGAACAGGCAAGATCCAATCAATTATCGTCCTATCTGCTTAACATCGATATTGTGTAAAGTTATGAAGCGGATCTTAAAGCAGGCTCTTCAGCTCTACCTCGAGGAATGGTATCTCTTCTCTTGTGCATAGCATGGTTTTCGAAGGGCATGCTCATGTTGCTAAAGAGCAATGGGCGAAGTCGCTAGATTCTGGTAAACGCCTGGACGTTGTATTTGTGGATTTCATCAAACCTTTCGATAGGGTCCCGCACGAACGACTTTTGCTTAAACTCCGAGGAATCGGTGTCGCCGGGAATCTTCTCTTCTGGATATCTGACTTCCTTTGCGACCGCACGATGCAGATGCAAGTAAACGAAACATCTTCCGCTCCTGTTCTCATGACTAGTGGAGTCCCACAGGGTTCTGTCCTCGGTCCCGTGCTTTTCAACGTCTTCATCAATGACTTACCGTCCACACTCCAGGCGGATTGCCTAATCTACGCCGATGACCTGAAGCTGTGGATGGAGGTATCCAGTATGGAAGATGCTGACAGGTTACAATCGACACTCGACCTGCTACAAGATGAGTCAATTAAGTGGCAGTTGTTAATGAATCGTGAGAAGTGTTCGGTTCTTCCAGTTGGTGCGTCTGACCCATTTGGAATCTACAATAGTGGTGGTCCCTTGCTCAAAAACGTCACTCAGGAGAGGGATTTGGGGGTGATACTTTCGCCTGATCTCAAATCTAATGAAGACACCAAGAAAAAGGTCGCTGCGACCTACAGGATGTTGCACTCTAAACACAGAGCTTTCTCTCACCTGACCCCGGGGATCTTCGACTCCTGTTTACTTCACATGTACGCCCGCTTCTCGAATACGGGCAAACTGCCGCCTACCCTCTTACGAAATTTGAATGTGATATGATTGAAATGGTGCAACGGCGTGGATCCAAATCTATTCCTGAGCTGCGGGACCTGTCCTATTCTCTCCGACTCAAACAACTGAACCTCTTTTCCCTGGATTACCGTCGTCATCGCGGAGACTTGATTTTCACCCGAGGTATTCTTAAAGGAGAGTTGGGGAGGGAATTACAGGAATTCGTTCATCTCAACACAGAGTTCAACAAGAGGCCACTTTGAAACTGTTCAAACCGAGGAGTCATCAAGTGCGATCAAGCCTGGCTTTATCCACTCGCGTTGTGAATGTCTGGAACCGCCTTCCGGAGTCCATCGTTGTTGAGACCGAGGAACATTTCAAGCATTTATTAGATTCACTTTTTAGTTTACGTGGATCCAGCTGTTTCCAATGCAGCTTCAGTGGTTCTCTGTGGGACCTTGTTCCGCAATGACCCAGGCTATCTCTGCAACGATTGGGAAGTGACGGAGCTGACAAAGGAACTTCCTTCTGCTCTCTATCATCCAATGATCCATGATCCAATGGAAGGGACTCACGTGTGACACTCGTGCCAACAGGGGATCAACCGATCACGCTGACTCAAAATAAAGTTTTATTAATTAGTAAGAACTCATTGGTAAATACTGGAGGTTTAAATGATACCATGTAATAAATATCGACATACCTAGGGATAAGACGACGCTAACTTTCATACATCTTTTAGGCATTTTGAGTGACGAAACCCGAGGAAATGGGAAATTTGGCTGTCGGATTCAGAGAACACACGTAGTGTTCATACTTAATACATACTCTGCTCATGTCAACAGACACTGTAGGATACAAAATAAAGAAGAAAACGAAAAGGACCATAAAAAACCTAAGCACCGACCGGAGCGTCGGATCCGCAAATGGCGATCAATGAGATTTTGACAGTGTGATTGTGGTACACAAGGTTGTTAGTTGATGGAGGAGAAGACTGGGCTTTGGGATGCATGAGTATGTTTTCTATCATGTGAAAGTCGTTTTTAATATGCTAAGGAGTTAAATTATAAAACTCATTGTACGAAAAGGTTGAAATGCGTCACGGTGGTCAATCATTTCCCGCTTCTAGCGACAGCAGTTTTGGAGGATGACTCTAGCGTATCTTCAAGGGTCTATATCTGGACATTTCAACGAATCTGGAGGATCTAAAACGTCTTCAGACGAAAACGGCGACATCGTTTATTCATCGGGGCGTTATTACTGCTGTTGTCACGGATCACGAAAAAGCTTGTTTGCTCGGAGAACAGTATGCTGGGGTTTATGTTAGAGAGGAGCAGCCGCCGCATATCAGTCTCCAGGCAAAAGTTCTTGACGGCTCCCACTTAGAGGAGGTTTCTATAACCGAGGCTCAAGTGCTCCGGCTTTTGAGGCAATTAAATCCCAATAAAGCTGCCGGTGGAGATGCTATTCATCCCAAACTGTTGTACGAGTTGGCTGATGAACGTTGCCGTCCGATTACACAACTTTCTCTGAAGTCTGTACGAGACTGCTCTCTACCCATGGACTGGAAGGAGGCTATTGTTTGTCCCATTTTTAAGCAAGGTGATAAGCACCTCCCTGATAACTATAGATCGGTCAGTTTAGCGAGCGTGCTGGTCAAGTTATTGGAAAAGCTCGTGAGGGACGCTCTCGAAGGACGTTTGAAAGCGTTTGAGTTGCTTAATTCTTCTCAGCACGGTTTTCGTAAGGGCTATTCTTGCCTTACTAACTTGTTAACGGCTCGTGAACACTGGGCCGAAGCCGCCGATTGAGGGAAGGCAGTGGACGTGCTGTTTATTGACTTTTCCAATGCTTTTGACACCGTTCCACATTCGCGCCTTCTGTATAAGCTGAATTCCTTTGGTATTTCTGTACCAGTCTTGCGATGGATTTCAGCTTTCCTAATCGGAAGGGAAATGTGTGTGCGGGTGGGTTTAAGCCTGTCCTTCCGCCAATGTGTTCTCATTGGCTTGCCGCAAGGCTCGGTCCTTGGCCCACTTCTCTTCACTTTATACGTTAATGACCTACCTGCTGAATTGGGTGTGCCATCCCTAATGTTTGCCGATGACTTAAAACTCTGGTTCACTATAAACGAGCCGATTGGTCCACTGACCCTACATGAGGCTTTGGATAGACTTTGGGACTGGTCAATTTTGTGGCAGTTGCCCGTTAATTTAGCGAAATGTTCCGTTTTACGCTTTAGTCCGAATAACCCACCGACGCGTTATTTGCTTGGCGGCAACGAGGTACCGCGAGTTCAACTTTAATCTGACCTCGGTGTTTTGCTGTCATCTGCTTTCAAGTCCAGTGAACACTGGAAGGCAGCTGCTCGTAAAGGCTTCAACATGTTGTGGATGATCCGCAAGTCATTCGGGATCATAACCACTGACTTGTTCGTTAGACTATTTTCGGCTTTTGTAAGGCCGCACTTGGAATACTGCGTCCAGGCTTGTCCTCCATGCTTGGTTCGTGACAAGATGGCAGTTGTACGGCTCCTGCGGTTCTGGACGAAAATGTTGTACGAATTAAAGAAGCTGACGTACCCGGAGAGGCTACGTAACTTGGATATGTTTTCCATGTATTACAGGCGGCTTCAGGGCGACTTGGTCCTCACATATCGTATATTGATGGGTCAGATTGGTCCTGATTTGACTGGACTGTTTCGCCCAACTCGAATGCCAACCCTTCGTGGCCACCCATTAAAGTTACACAAACCCGGTCTGACCGGGTTTTGGCAAATTTCATATTATCGCGTAGGGTTATAGCTTATTGGAACACATTGCCTGCAGACGTCGTGATGGCACCGACGGTGAAAGAGTTCGAGCATCTACTTGACGCTCTCGGTCTGCAGATTAAAGTCTTCCCCTTCATGTCTTAAACTTTTCTTCGTCTACTACGGCTTACGCTTTAACTCATTTTAACTTTCATCTTAATATTGCCTACGATATTCGATTAGCTTGTCTTCTCTGTTTTCTTTTCTTTACTGACACTACTGTTTTATTTTATTCTGCACGTGGCCGGCACAGCGGGGACTGCTAGTGCAGGGCACGTGGGCATTGTTTGGGTGACCATATGAATCGTGTGTGTTGATTTGGCTCTCCTTTGGCACATCAAGGCACCGGTTTCCCTGTTGGATCAACGACGCTTTCGAAGGTGGAACATTCGCGGGATTTTCTTACTGTTCCGGTCCTAATTGAACTTGAACTTGAAAACTTACCAAAGGGAGATTGGACAGGTGCTATCGGAAGGATGCCGATATCGAGATAATCATTTGCTGTGCGTGCATAGCAAGTGATCGAATGTTGCTGTTGGGAAGCGGTAAGTATTGTGTATCCATCTGATAATTTGTTAACAGTTACAAGTGTTACAAGTGCCCTCCTCGGTTCTCAGCGGTTTTGCAGTGGAGATTACGAGAGTGGGTACACTTGTATACGTCATGCGCACCATTTTTATTTGGTGAAGCCTTGGCTATATAACAAGAACCGATGGCTAACAGCGGAACAGGAAAGCATGTTGCTAAACCTGATGAGGACGTTTCGTTGGACGCAGCAGATGCGTGCATTTGTGCGCCTTCAATATAACATTCGAGGTGCGATTTGTATGAGATACGGCTGCCTCATCGTAAAGCTTGTGTCACGAAAGCGGAGGAGCTACGCTGCTATTGAGAAGAAATGGTCAAGTGAAAATAATGCATGTGGGAAGAAAGATCCCGTACGACTTTTTCGTCCCTTCGCGCGTGCTGGAATTGGTGGGCCAATACGGGGAGGTAATTTTGTGAGGGCTCCACATATCAGATCAATTACGGTGGTTATATCCTGTGGCACTGTATGTTTGTGGACGTCAGCGGCCTTGGTTTCTGTTTCTTTTATGCACTGCTGCCCAATGTGCCTGAGGCTGCCGACCATGAGGAGGTGAGAAGTATGTTGGAGTTTGTTCTGGGGTTGCCCGCGCTGGAATGCCCGTTATGGACAAGTGAGAGGCGCAGGTGAATGCGTTTCGCCATGCGTATCCCACTGCCAAGGTAGTTTTCTGCCGGGTACCGATTAGGCGTGACATGCAGCGGCGATGTGCTTATCTTCGCTTCTGTAACACGGATGATAAAAGAGCTCTGTTCAGCCTGCTGCTTTTCTGGTTGCACACCCACGAGTGCGCGCATTATCATTGGCTTATGGAGAGTATTCCGGTGCGCAGCGCGGAATGCTTCCAGTACCTCCGTCGCACGTGGATCCCATGGCGGCTTAGCAGGGCATCGCATTTGATGGGCCACGTGGTGTTATCTGGTTGCGATAGCAGCCATCGCTTTGAAAACGGGAATAAGCATTTGAGAGAAAGTTCAAGTGAGCGGTCCACTCTGCTGCACCTGTTTCAGGTGATAGCGCAGCAGTGCAATGGCATTTTAGAGGAGAGGAAAACCGTCCTTGCGAGAGATAAGCTAAATATGTGCGAGGTTGAGCTGCGTGTAACCAGTGGTCTGTGGATTTTGAGGAAGATATCGTAATACGCCCGGTAGCCGTAAGTGCGGCACAGTGTGAACGCATTGTGAAAGCGATGTGAACGCGGGCGGCAGGTATTGGCTAGTGGATGTTGAGCGCCTGGGCATGCAGCGTGTGGTCATAGAGAATGTCAGCGCATGCGGATGTCGTTTTAATCGTCAGTGGTGCATTCCATGCGCTATATTGCGCAGGTTGCCATCCTGCATGCATATGACAATGAGGTTGTTCTTCGTGGTAGCCATTGGGTGCTGCCAAGGGAGAATGTTGGAGTGGCGGACCTGTCGGAGGACACGGAGGGAACGGTGACGGTCACGCAGATGCCATCCAGATGCCATTTCTTGAGCGAATTAACGTCGTGCGATATGCAGCCCACTCACAAGGACTTCAACGTATTCCTCATCCGCAAGTTCGGCCAGGCTTTCCGCTGGTGGACAACATGCAGCCGCAAGTTCATCATTCACCCCACACCACCTACGGAGCCAGTGAACAATGTCAACACTGCTAGGAATGTTAGCGAACTGCACTTGTGGTTGGACGTTGGACGTATCCTCGCGGCTCTCGCCTTTTTGTGGACCATTCATCACCATTTCACTGCACAGCACCTAGCGTGCATTCATTTTACTCGGAATCATCTTCTCTACACGGTGGATCCATTCCACCCGGCTTATTCCCATCGCTTCAACCTCTAGCTTGTGTCTGTGTTTTTCGCGGAGTTTGCCGGGGAATCCACACGCAAAACCTCTCCAGTCTGCATCTTTTCGTGGATTTTTCTACAACCCTTCGGATTTTTACATCATTCGATAGAGAAATCTTTCCGCTTGCTAACAAGCCTTCAGTCGCTTCACAGCACCACTCTGAATAACAGTTACCGAAGAACTTCATCTTTAACTTGCGTACTCAAACGCCCAGCAAACTTCACGATAGCCATCGCATCTCGGCCAGATCAATTTCAATCACTCAGACGGCCCAAGCACGTCCTACACGGCCTATTCAAACGTGACCGCATGACGCACAGGCCCATCACGCGTAAGTCGATCAATGTGTCCTCCGACCACAAGCGGACAAGACGGCGAAGCACATCTACCACGCACGACACCAAACTAGCCTGTGAACCGGGCCGTGCCACTTCGCTGCAGCCGACCATGACCAATGTAACAAGGGGAGAAGCTACAATTGGAGCTGAGTCACTTGCCCAGACAGTGGAATCGGGTCAGCATTGTGCCTTGTGTTCCGTTAATCATAGTCCGATTACTGAGGCTAACAAGCACAACAATCTGTCCGAGTCTGTTTCGTTCTGTCTTACTTGCACAACGGTTCCCATAGTAAAATGCCTAATTGCTTTGTCGAAAGATTACGACCGTCGGATTGCAGAAGTAGAATTATGCGTAAATGAAAGAATTATTTCCTTAGAGGCT